TTATTACACAAATAATTAAATAGTAAAAAGAATTAATAATAATAAATAAAGAAAAAGAAAAAGTAAACATTTATAATTAAAATAAATTAAATTAAAATAATTAAAATGAATTTGTAATTAAAACAAATTAAATTAAAATAATTAAAATAAATAATTGCTAAAATTAACCAAATATCTGGCAGAGAAAGCTTGACTACCATTTCCAATTGTTCGAAAAAATCGATAATCCGCAACAACACGTAAAGAACATCTAAAATTTTGAATTTAAATTTAAAATTAACAAATAATCATTTTCAGATTTAAATGAATTATAATCATAAAATATTTTATACTTTCAAAGGAAAAAAAAGTTATCAAACTAACCGATTTTTAGTTGTTGGTAATGCTGATAAACGTTTAAATCGCATTGATTGCGAAAATGTGATATTATTTGAATTGCCAATTAAAATTGATGAACAAAATGATCTATTATTCAGTTCAAAATTAAATTTTAAATCTGAATTTCGATAAGCTAAAATTTGCCATGGATGAGCTGTTTCCTAAAAAAAAAAAAAATTTCCCTAACATACAGAATATGATAATATTAATGTATTCTTAAAAAAAAAAAAAAAAAAAAGAAAAACTTTAAAATTTTAATATTTAAATTAAACAATCATGCTGTAAATTCTAAAAAAACAATTTTTTTTTTTTTTTTAAAAATTTTTTTTCGTTTAAAATTTAACTTTTAATAATGCTTTTTCCACCAAAAAAAAATATACTAACACAGAATTATAATTGATTTAATTTAATAATTTATTAAATTTTTTTTTTAAAATTTCCACACTATTTCATAAACAGATGCAATAAATAAATTAGAATAATTGATATTAAATAAAAATTCATTTAAATCACAATGCAAAAATAAATTCTTTAAATGATAAAAATTAATTTCAAAAAAAAAAAAAAAAAAAAAAAAAAAAAAAAAAAAAAAAAAAAAAAATTACAAAATGAATTTTTGCTGGTTCAAAAATGTAAATTTCACCATCACTTTGTACGGTACCCAATAATGAGCCTTCATCACTGTAACTAATTGCTACAATCGAATTAGCAACACCTTCAGAATACCGGAAATAAAATTCCGGAAATAACTGTTAGATTGATTAACAAATTGAAAAAAATAAAAATAAAATTCCATAATTGAAATGTAAATTGAAATGCTAATTAATAGAGTAAGTTAATTTTTACATTTATAGCTAATATTTAGAAATAAAAACTAATGTTAATTAAACTTTTAAAATCCAATCTCAAATTTAATTAAAATTAAAACGAAAAAAAAAAAATGAAAATTTTCATAAAGTATAAATTTCAAATTTAATTTGCATTTAAAATAATAAAATTAAAAAATATTTTACCATGTAAATGTCCACCAAAATATTCATCCGGATTAACCGTACATAGCTTTTCATAACCATAACCATCTATTTCACGACATTTGAAATTTGCATGAAGAATGCCCTTCTTTGGTGTAAGATAGATATCAAAAAAACGATTAAAAGCTCTGCAAAATAATTCTCGAATTCAAAATAATTCTCGAATAAAAAAAATTATTTTTTAAAAAAAAAAAAAACAAATTATTAATTTAGTTTTATACAAAAACAATTCGTATATTTTATGCAAAAAAAGCAAATTAAATTTAACTTATAAATAAAATAAAATTTATGATAATACTTAAAAGTAAAATTGTTAAAGTCTTAATTTTACAAAACTATTATGATATGATAAGCAATGATAAATTTGATAAATTCAAATTTAGCAAAAATATTAAAAAGTAAAACAAACAAACAAAAAAAAAAAAAGAAAGAATAAAAATTAAACCTAAATGTTAATCGTTGTTGTTTGTTGTATGAAATATTATTGTCCACAATGCCTCGTTTTTCAATTCGTCGATTTATTTCAATAATTTCATAATATTTTAATCGCTCATTTAAATTAATTTTCTTATCACCTTTAAAATTTTCATTTCATTATTTACTGATAAAAAAACAAACAAACACTGATAACAAATGACTTAACATTAATCAGTTTATCATTTTGATATCTGATTTGATTTTAATAATTAATTTGCCTTCTTACACTTTACATTTCTATAACATTTTTTTATTTACAAATTTTATAAATTTGAATTTAAAAAAAAAAAAAAAAAAAAAAAATGATTAAAATTACCGTTAATAGTAAATGCATCATTAATTAGTAAACAAGTATAAAATTGAAAATGAAATGACACAATGATGATAATTTGTCGCCAAAAAAACAACAATAACAACAACATTTATATAAAATATGGCGCATATGTCATCAGATATTTATCTGTTTAGCCTGAAAATTAAATTACCGCCGCCATTAGTTTAATCATAAATAAACATTTCAAAAATGAGCAAAATAATTTATGTAAATAAACATTTTTAATTAAAATTCCTTCAATTTATTTAAATTTAATTCAATTTCTAGGATTTTTTTTAGGTGAAAATTTGAATAAGTAAAATACTTTATTGAAATGCTAAAGTTAAATTCGTCTCTTTTAATTTTGTATATTCTTGAAATTTTCATTTTTTTTTTTCACAATCAAAGATTTATGAATAATCGATGAATAATAAATATATCAGTCATTCTTCTATAAGTCAATAACTATTATTCTCGGGTAACTTTCAGGTATATTTTACCCAATAATATACCTTTAAAATGACACACTGATTACACACACACACACACGGACAGACACAAACAAACACAGACATACATAAACAGACACGCACATACACAGATAGACGTAGACGTACACGGACATACGCAGATAGACGTAGACATACACAGACATACACAAACAGACACGCACATACACAGATAGACGCAGACATACACGGACATACGCAGATAGACGTAGACATACACAAACAGACACGCACATACACAGATAGACGTAGACATACACAAACAGACAAGCACATACACAGACAAACATATACATACATGTGCAGCACATATACAAATGTATACACATACATATATAGATACATAAGTACAAGTACACACACACAGACACATACATGTGTAGATACACGTGCACACACACACACACAAACAGACAAATGTATACACATGGACATACATACGTAGATTCACGTGCACGCAAGCACACAAACACATATATACATATGCAGCATACATAGAAATGTATGCACATGTATACATGTACACGTGCACAAGTACACATACACACACACACACACACACACAGACACATACATAGGTGTGCAGCACACATACAAATGTATACACAAACAGATACCTTTACAGACATGCATAGGCATGCAACCACCTACACAGACATATGCCTGTGACAGACAGCCACCGAGACAGTCGTACGGAGAGGTATGCGGAAGAAATTTCGAAAATTTTGAAAACTTTGCAGTGAGTTTCGTAATCAAACAATCAGAAAAGTATGGTTTGCGTGAAGAGACAAATGACTGTAAGGGGAGATGACTCATCGATGAATCATCAACGAGTAATATCTGTCTGTTATGATCGATGCAGAGGAATGGGAAAAGAAAGTGAAACAGAAATGTGAAAATAGACGATGAAGGCTGTGTGAAGTTTACTTAAGTAAAAAAAAAGGTATTCGATTAATCGAAAATATTTGTGAATAATTGAAATATTATCATTGATAAATATGTTAATAAATTAATTACTGATAATTTCAATCATTTAAAGTAATCTTTTTACTGATAATTTCAATCATTTAATATAATCTTTCCATTTAAATATGTATGAATACAATTCATTACAATGCTAATTAATTATATCAAAAAAAAGCGTACGTGAATATTGTTGACGTAAGTTATCATTGATAAGTATGTTAATAAATTAATTACTGATAATTTCAATCATTTAAAGTAATCTTTTTACTGATAATTTCAATCATTTAATATAATCTTTCCATTTAAATATGTATGAATACAATTCATTACAATGCTAATTAATTATATCAAAAAAAAGCGTACGTGAATATTGTTGACGTAAGATTTTCTATTCTATCTAAATATATTCATTAATTAATTATCTACAAAATCTTTATTATCTATATATATATATATTTACTTCAGATTTATCGTTTATTTTAAATTGTTTTTTTTTTAAAAAAAAAAAAAAATGAATTTTAATTTGAAAAAAATAAATTTTTCAAAAATGTAATTTAAATTTTGATATATTTTAAAATTTTTGATTATTTAATTTCTTTGTAATTTCTCAAAATTTTCATTAATATCTATATATATTTACCTCAGATTTGTTGTTAATTTTAAATTGTTTTAAAAAAAAAAGAATTTTAATTTGTAAAAAATAAATTTTTCAACAATATAATTTAAATTTTGGTATATTTTAAAATGTTTGATTAATTTTTAATTTTCATAAAATCATCCAATAATTTATAAATGTGACAAATAATTCAAAAAGAAAAACGGTCTTAGATGGAATTTCTGCCTTTGATCATTGGTCTCTTACTCTTTGGTCATTATTTATTGCTCATATAAAATCGTGTGTGCATTGTTTTTCCGGTATGTCCGTTTTTTATTCCGGTATGTCCGTTTTTTTTGTTCCGGTAATTTTCCTTTCAAATTTATCCACTGTTGTAATTTTCCGCCTTCTTTCTTTTTGCTCCTCATTTCCGTTCTTGCATTTATTGATTCTAATATTTTGTCGTGTATCTCTGATCATTTGACAATTTGTTAATGTCTTTAATTTCTGCTATTTTTTTTTCCTTTTTTTTTTTTTTTTCCGGACAATCATTCATTCATTCATTCTCTTTTTCCTGATTCCATTAATAAAATAATTGTAATAATCATGGAAAAAAAAAATAGAAATTGATCAAAATATTTGATCAAAATATTGAAATGATAATGTGTGATATTTACTAGTTGAAGTTTATTTTGCAGCATTCCTGAATTTTTGCATTTCATTCCGGAGAAATGGCCGATTTAACAATACCAACGGATGTACCACAAATTCCTCAAGTCGATATGATTAGTGCAACAAGTAAATTACAACTAGAAGCAGCTGATGTTCGAAGTAACAAACCTAATTGGAATTCTTACTTAAGGTTGGTATTCAGTATTTTATTATACCTGTTTATTATTGTATTTTAATTACACTATGCTTAATTGGAACTTTTACTTAAGGTTGGTGTTCAGTGTTTTATTATACCTGTTTATTATTGTATTTTAGTTATATTATACCTAATTGGAACTCTTACTTAAGGTTGGTAGTCAGGACTTTATTATGCTAGTTTATTATTGTATTTTAATTACACTATACTTAATTGGAACTTTTACTTAAGGTTGGTGTTCAGTGTTTTATTATACCTGTTTATTATTGTATTTTAGTTATATTATACCTAATTGGAACTCTTACTTAAGGTTGGTAGTCAGGACTTTATTATGCTAGTTTATTATTGTATTTTAATTACACTATACTTAATTGGAACTTTTACTTAAGGTTGGTGTTCAGTGTTTTATTATACCTGTTTATTATTGTATTTTAGTTATATTATACCTAATTGGAACTCTTACTTAAGGTTGGTAGTCAGGACTTTATTATGCTAGTTTATTATTGTATTTTAATTACACTATACTTAATTGGAACTTTTACTTAAGGTTGGTGTTCAGTGTTTTATTATACCTGTTTATTATTGTATTTTAGTTATATTATACCTAATTGGAACTCTTACTTAAGGTTGGTAGTCAGGACTTTATTATGCTAGTTTATTATTGTATTTTAATTACACTATACTTAATTGGAACTTTTACTTAAGGTTGGTGTTCAGTGTTTTATTATACCTGTTTATTATTGTATTTTAGTTATATTATACCTAATTGGAACTCTTACTTAAGGTTGGTATTTAGTACTTTTTATGCTTGTTTATTATTGTATTTTCGTTATATTATGCTTAATTGGAACTTCTACTTAAGGTTGATAGTCAGGACTTTATTATGCTAGTTTATTATTGTATTTTAATTATACCAATATTTTATTTATATTTCAACTACACACCTGCATTTTGTCTTATTTTAAAGTGAAATGTTTTACACAGCTACCGATATGAAGGAGAATATGTTCATAGTAAAGATTGAAGTAATATTTTGTTGAAATTATATACATTTTACATATCATTTGTAGATATAGAGTAAACCTTTTTTCTCATTTGCTAGGTACCAGAATAAGCTTCAATTATGATGTGTATGAAAAAAAAAAAAGAGAAAAGATTTCGTGATATGTTGAGAAATATTCAATAATTGGTAGTAGTTAAAACGTACTGAAAAGCTGAAACAAAAAAAAACTCAACTTGTAAAATCTATGTTTTTTATAGTGTAATGTTTTTTTTTTTTGACTTTAAATTTTCATTTATTTGACTATTAGTCATTTTTTCTCTTTATTATAATTAAAAGTTGATTGCTTTTTACTGTTCCTTTTTAAACTTTTGAGGATTACTTTTTATTGCTATCAAAAAATTTCCAAAGTTTAGTCATATTTATTTCAGTCTTCTACTATATGTTGTGTTAATATTTACTGTCTTCTTATTGGTGGATTAATTAATTAATGAGTGAGAAAGTAACTGTAAAACAATTTATAAAAAGGAAAAGTAAAGTATGTTCCAAATCAATGTATTAATTGTTGTAAAATAATAAATGGATATTATAGGAGTCAAATGATTACACAGGAAGATTACGATTTTATAACTTCATATGAGATGTCAAAAACTAAGCAAAGTCGTGATGAACTTTTGGAGAGTAACAAGATGCAGTGTGCTCAAACAATGATCAGTTTTATTACAACTGTTGCTAAAGATCACAATGTTCGTTATATACTAACATTGCTGGATGATATGATTATGGTTAGTGTTCCATTTATGTTTTTTCATTTTACAATTACAAAATATAGATAATTACAAATAAAAATTTAATTACAAATTCAGTGAAAAAAAAAAAAAAAAAAAAATTTCATTGTGTTCTTCTGAACTATCAAGTAATTCAAATTTATAGTACTAGCCATTATTTTAGTCTTTATATTGATCAATTGATATAAATTATTATTTTTACAAAAGTTGAAATGCTATATTGAAAATTTCGAGTTTACTGAAAAAGAAAATCTTACTTTCTGGGAAAAGAAATAAGAGAATTCTAAAAATTTAATGTAAAACTGGATAGATAACCTTTTCTCTTTAATTCTAACACATTTAGCACTTCTTTTCAATGATATAATTTATTGCAGGAAGATAAATCACGTGTGGAAATATTCCACAGTTATGCCCGAAGAAATAAACGTACGTTGTGGTCATGGTTTTTAGGTATTTTACAACGTCAAGATGCATTTATCGTAAATCAGGTTTGAATTTCGATTCATTCTTAAGCAAAAAAAGCTTGAAAGTAATTTGATAGAATACATATTTAAGATACTTTTTATAAAACATTAACATTATTAATAAATTTTTCTTCTCTTGATTATCTTATCTGTAACTGCTACGATATTGATGTATAAATAATAAATATTGAAATTTAAAATAATGCTTAACAGTGAATATATGGTTGCTTACATCTATCTGTTAGCATTTGGTGACATCTTTGATCAAATTAGTTAAGGATTTATGATTTATATATTTACTTTGTTGAAGATCTATGATTTATATATTTACTTTGTAAATAAGATATTTTATGGTGTAACAATTGAAGAAAAATATTTTTCAGATGTCATCTGTTTTGGCAAAATTTGCATGTTTTGGTATGACACTAATGGAAGGTTCTGATTTGAACTTCTACATTTCATTTCTCAAAGATCAGTTAAAAACTCCAAGAAATGAATATATCAATACAACAGCACGTTGTTTACAGATGATGCTTCGAATTGATGAGTATCGTCATACATTTTTAGCAATGGATGGTATTGCAAGGTTTTTGAATAAATTATTACTTCTTCTTTTTGTATGATTCTTTGATAAGATATAATTAAAACTACTATTGCTCCTAGAAATAATATGTAGTGCTTCAAACATTAAATGAACTAATTTTTTTTAGTAATATTTTAAACTAATAAACTAATTTGTTTTACAATATTTCACAAATCCAAAAAATGTTGTTAGCATATTTTAAATTTGATTAGAAGAAAAGTAAGCGGATAATTAGACGTATATTTTTATTCGAACAGACTTTTATATCTTTTGTTACTTCTTTCATTAATAATTCGAAAATATCTTAGTGAGTGATTTGCAGTGATTTGAAAATATCTTAACTTTCAGTATTTTATCAGTATTGAGTGGTAAAACTAATTTTCAACTCCAGTATCAGCTTATATTTTCCTTATGGTGTCTTACGTTTAATCCGGCTATAGCTGAAAAATTTCCACATACTGGAGCTATTCAAATTCTTGGTGATATTCTATCGGAATCAACTAAGGAAAAGGTAAAATTGTATATTTTTTATATATTTGTTTTTTCTCAGTTCATTTTTTAAAATTAGTATATTTGTATGAAGATGGTTTATTATACATGAGTTTGGAGTGTTATTGTTAATGTTTTTTATCATTTTACTTTTTGTTTTCGTCTCTTTGTAAATGTTTGTAAAAGTTTACCAATTCTTAAATTCTTAAAATTAATAAAAATTTATTATTAAAATTAAGCAATTGTTAAAATTATTTTGTCATAGGTAATTCGCATAATCCTGGGAACGTTCCGAAATATTCTGGAGAAAATCGATGATCATGATCTTGAACGAGAAGCAGCTTTGCAAATGGTGCAATGTAAGACTTTAAAAACACTTGAACTAATGGATTCTAAAAAATTTGATGATGACGAACTGAATGATGATGTTGAATTTCTCGATCAAAAGTTGCATTCTTCGGTCCAAGATTTTTCTTCGTTTGATGAATATGTATCGGAGGTATGTTCTAAGTGATAATTTCCTGATAAGTGTGTTTACCAGAAGTTTGAATAAACTTGTTGAATTCTGTAGCAAATTTTAACATGTTTTAAACTTTAAGACTATTCTATATTTATTTTAGAATTTACTCAGTTTTTTTTTTCGTTCATCAAATCAAAAAAAACGATATATCATACAAATAAACTTAAGAGGACTTTGTTTTTTCAATCCTTTTTTTTTTTAGGTTAAATCAGGTCGGTTGCAATGGAGTCCAGTTCATAAATCAGAAAAATTCTGGAGAGAAAATGCACAAAAATTCAATGAAAAAGATTTCGAACTTTTAAGGCAAGTTTTTTTTTTTTTTTTCTTTTCAGTTTATAACTGAAAAACATTGAAAGAGAGAGAGTATATCAATCGCTTTATTTTGTTATTTTTAGGATTTTGATCAAGATTTTGGAAGTGCAATCGGATACATTAGCTCTTTGTGTAGCAGTACATGATATTGGAGAATATGTAAGACATTATCCGAGGGGTAAAAAGTTCGTTTTTTTTTTTTTTTTTCCTTTCTCTTGATAAGATATAAGATTGTATATATATATATATTTTATATACTTGCATATTTTTTTCTTTTTTCATTTCAGCAAGATTGAGCAATTACAAGGTAAGCAAGCAGTAATGAAATTACTTTCGGCAGATGATCCAAATGTACGCTATCATTCATTGCTTGCAATTCAGAAATTAATGGTGCATAATTGGGAATATCTTGGCAAACAATTAGATGCTGATAATGCAGCAATTGCAGCTGAATGAATATTGTAAATGTATTTATATATATGTATGTATGTTAATTAGTTTATATTAGATTAATTATATTAATTAGTTTATATTAGATTGTATTGTTTGTAGGAAATTTTGTAGGAAATTGTAGGAAAATTACAACATACTATTCAAATTTCTAATTGAATCAATTTAAAATTGTAGATTTTTCAGCGTGTCAAATTTTGCTGACTTTTATAGGGCTAACTATATATATGTCTAATGTCTAATTACTAAGATGCTTTTAAAATTTTTAATGTTTTGATAGAATAACTTTTGATGGTTAATGAATTTTTCATTTTTTGATGATTAATGAATTGCTTGAGTAAATAATTAAAAGGAAAAGTTTTTTTAAAAGCATCTTAGTAATAAAGCGTAGACTAATTAAGAAAGATTTGTTACAAAAAAAGAAAAAAAAATTTTTTTTTTTTTACCTGAAAAGGAAAAATAAGTTAGCAAAAGAAATAACAAACGCTTAATTACATATGCTTAAATTAACATCAGGATCCAATGAGTGAGTGAAAGAGATCAAGAAACTTTCCAGACTAGTTAAATTTTTTCACGCACCATTATGTTTATTCACTTTCTAACATTCTAGATCATTCATTCCATCTATAATGGATTATTATTTTTTCAATTAAGTTTCACATCAAAAGGTTAATTTCAAGTTGATGTGTTTTCATATGACTACAATATAATCTGTGATCATTGCATAGTTCCATAGAGAATTAATGATATTTTTTTTTTTTTTTTGATGCAATAAAATATGTCTGAAAAAAATAAGTCTAAAAGTTTGACATATGTTTGAAATTGGTGTCAGGTATTTTTCGTGTGAAATGGTCTTGAAATCAAGAATTTAAAGGAGCAATCAGAATCATCTGGGATATACTTACATATTACCTGAAGGGTTGGATAATGGGTTACGTTTTAATATGTCCACATCTTTAAAACATGCCACAAATTACTGTAAATAGCAGAAACTTGTTTATAACCATACGAATTTAAGTTACAACAATGAATCGATAACAAAAATTATTTTCAATGCCTTCGCCCACGTCGAATTTCTTTTGCTTTTGGAGGCAGAATAATGCCATCATACTGAAACAAATGAAAATAATGAAACTTTGCGTAACGAATATATTAGTTCTGGAAGACAAATGAGAACCTTATATAAGAGTTAGAAAGACTTTATCAGAGGTATGAATGGCTTCAATAATGAAGTATGAAAATGCTGGTAATTTCAAATAATTTTTAATGGTATGAAGGAACTTCGGCATTTATTCTTAATAAAGGTCACAAGCTCAAGCTCATTTATAACAAGCATACCTTTTGCTGAAACCATTTTACTGCTTCCTCTTTCCCTACCCGATGTGTGTGTCCAACACGTCCACGGGCACGTCTACGTTTCGCAACTCTATGACCAGCACGTCCGAGAACAACATAGAAGTCCATGCCGTAGATACCAATCAACGGGTCATATTTAATTCCCAAATCGATATGCTCCTGTATTCCGAAACCGAAGTTTCCAGTGTCTGAGAAATTTTCTCGGTATAATTCATATTCTTTCACCTACAATTACAAGGAAATTTGTTTCAACAAAAAAAAAGTGCGTACATATTTAAAGAAAATGGAGGTCAGTTAATTTAATTCATGCCTTCAATTTACCTAAATACTTGGCCATCCTTCAAAAAAAAAGAACATAACAAAGAAATCTAAAATCAAATAACTAGTAGAATCGCTCTAAAATACAGACTAACACATTAACACCTAATTTTTGGATGAACAAGCTTCAGAAGGAAAATTATACGAAACATTAATTAATTATCTGTACAATAGATGTTGTATTACAATTTTCTCTGCAACGGACGAAATAATCATTAAGCATTTTTGTCCAGTTGAACGAAAGTACAGTCCAAAGTACAGCTCAGATCAAAAAATGGGAAAGTGATAAAAGAGGCTGTAATAAAATTAGGAACCTTCAAACCACGCTCAATGATTTCTTCAGCTTTCGGACCCCTTACGGTACAGTGCACAGCAATTTTCTCGTTACGACGAATACCAAATGATCGTACGGTATATCTTGCTTTCGAAAACACCGGTGTTTGACCAGTCAGTTGTTCAAGTACCTGAAAACACGAAACAGAATAATTGGTATTATGGCTCATTCACACATCAGTCAGGTTTCATCTACTAGAACTGATCATATGTAGCTTACTCTATATTTTAGAGGCTTATATATGAAATATTTTCACTGTATGGTAATAAAAAGACTCTACATACTATTCTCAGAAACAACAAAACATTAATTTACTACTCCAGAGCAAACATTTCACTGACGGATGTCAGAAAAGGGACATTTTAAACTGTTTGAAAATGTGCTACAGGTATGGAGAATTTGACATACACTGACAGATCATCACTATTAAGACAGATGAAAAATAACCTCAAAACTAGTACTACTTATCAACAATTGTGAATGTATTATATGTTATCTAAACCAATAACTTGTCACTTCTTTTTTTCATTTGCAAGAATTTGTGACGAAAACAGATGAAAGCATACCTTAGCAGCACGTGTAAGTCTATCACCTGATTCACCAACACAAATATTTAGGCATAATTTCTCAATCTTCAACTCCCTCATTGGATTGGCCGCCTTTTTCTCCCTAATTTCAGCAAGCTGCTCCGCCTTGCCCATTTTTTACACTACCTGAAAAAGAGGCTAAACTTCCTGCGAGAAAATGAATATCACAAAAAAAAAAAAAATCCATACACGAATACCGAAAAAGAAACATATTACAAAACAAAAAGAAGCACATAAGAAACACTAAAAAAAACGTAAACATAGCCGTGAACATCTGAGTCTGAACGAAACGTAACAATAAGTATAACTGTACGATGCAAGAATGATGACAAAGTTCTTCTCATTAAGTGTATAATTAATTACAAGCAATATTTATTTGTATAGTAGTAAAACTTTAGCATATCTATGCAATAGTTTTTCTCAAAAAAAAAAAAAAAAAAAAACCGCTGTAAATTAAATATTTCAAATAACAACTGTATTCGTCAACATTACCTTCTTTAAAAAAAAAAAAAAGAGAAAAAAAACCCCTTCCAATGTCTGAAATAAATTTCCATAAGTTAATTCATGATAAATTCTTTTCCCTATGAGTGGAATTTTTTAGTATTTTCATTCATAGGCTAATATTTATCTGAAAAATTTCATGCCACTTCTTTCTCTCACTCTTCTCCAAAATAATAGAAAAACTAAAAAAAATTCTCGTCCAAAAAAGAAGGATTAATCTATAATCACTATGTAAACATGACGCACGTAAACGTCAAACACGTAAACAATCAAACTCCCAAACGTAACACCCAAAAGCTATTGTCCCAGTTGTTCCTATACCTTCAAACATACAGCAGAAAACGCGGTCCACGCATTTTAACGCTACGCGTTTCGATCGATTGAGATGCAACGATTTCGAATCACTCTAACGAAGTTTATTTCATTGCTTCTTTGGTTTATTTTTTCAATTTAGGTTGGTCATATTGTTTTTTTTTTTCTTTTTCCACACGTATAGTATCTTCACGTCACGTGTGAATACTAGAATAAGACGTAGTGATTCCATTTTCATACATATATGAAATTATTTCACGTCAGTGCATAATTACTTCACTTTATACTACTTCAAAGTTGCATACTTTTACTTTGAAACTATACTTTTTACTTTTGCTAGTTATTAGTATTGAAAGTAGATGTCAATCTGATGAACTTGTACTAATCCAATGTCCTTTGTTCAGTTATGTAAATTTATCAAAATTGTGATTAGATTGTTTTAAAGTAACATATATATATATATTTTAAATGATTTATTTATTTTAGTAACTTTTTTTTTTTTTTGTTTAACAGAATTAGTGGCATTTTTTCTTTTCGATTCTCTATGGGATACTTTTTTATTTAAAAATTTTGCATATTTTACATTGTATGCTGTGAAATTTTGATTGCGATGTATCATATTTTGAATAAATTCTTTCAGTTACTTAACGGTGATGTTTCCAGTTTCTAAACGTAAAACGTGTCATGAAAGCAGGCTGCAACTTCTAGTTCAAACATTAGCTGTGATTTAGTCTAAGATGTGAACCGGAAGCGAGTACTAGTGTAATAAATCTTTGCTAATCCAAAGTACTTTTTTTTTTGCTTATGTAAAACTTACCCATTAAACAATCATTTGCATGTGTTAGTGAAATTGAATCGAAAAATGTTAAAAACAAAAGATACCCGAGAAATATAAACTTTCTGTATTTGATCGGACGATAAAAAATGGCGGAAATTTGAACGTACGTTTGCACTGATTTGCTTTAACAAAGTTGCATTTTTTATTTCCTTTTTTAGCTTCCATGCTAACTACCTTAATTGAGAAGGCATTTGTTCGGGCACTTCGCGGAGAAATAACAGATGAAGAAGCTGCTGATCAGATTGCTGATTCATTTGGCGCTGATTCTATTACCAATAATTTCCAGGTATTAAATTTTCTTCCCTTAATTTTAATTGATCATGCATTACTAATTAAGCTGAAGTTATCATTCGATTTTTTTTTTTTTTTTTTTACATTCACAAACTTATATTATTCTAGCAAGGTGTCATGTAGATGCGGCTAAAGAAACGTCATACTTTCTTAAGTTTCACATCAGTAACCTTTAATGATTGATAAAGATTTATTTAAAATTCACATTTGTTGGATATTGCAGAATTATGTCAATGGTGTTGAAGTTCAACATAGTATTAACAGTGATGGAAAGATGTAAGTCATTATTACTTAAATTTAATTTTAATTGAACTTAAATATGCTACCGTTCTGCATCTAATTTTACATGTCACCCAGATTTCAGTATTATATAGCGAAATTTGTTAGTAATTATTTTTTTAAATTACATGATATATTGAGCATCACTAACGAATATGAAGAATAAAAAAGTATGGGGAATGTTTTAAATTCTTTATTTTTAGAATAATGAAATGTAAAACTTTTTTTTTTTGCAATATTTATTTGCAATAATATTGAAGAGTTAGAGAATGAGACTTCCATTTTTAGGGATATTTCTGCTAATTTACAGCCACAACTATGTCAGCAACAGCAGCCGAAAGTGCTTGGTACTATAACTTTGGGTGATTTGCATCCTGCTCAAATCGCACAATTCCAGGTAAGGATGTGATTTATTTATTTTTAATTGTTTCAAATAGATTTTGGTATTTTTTAAAGATTTTTATCCATATTTCTGTTAACCCCTGAATGGAACTATCAATTTCTCCTGATTGTTTAGCACAAAGTTTTCGCCATCAATAATATATACGCGACGACCACATCCGTAAATACCTTCAAAAACTTCATATACTTTGATGTTCAAATATTCTTTTATGTCTAGTTGCTTCTTATTAATTAATTAAATGTTGTAAGACGTTGATTTTTTTTTTTTTTTTCAAACTGAAATAAATTGATGACTTATTTTTCACTCAAGATTTATAGTTACATAGGATGAATATATTTCAGCAGGCGTTTGCAGAAGCCAGTAAAGGATTAGCTTCATCAGTTGTATTCAATGTGCCGTTGCAAAAGACTGATAATTCAGAAGAATATTTTACAGACGAAGATAGAGAAAGGTAGAGTGTGATGTTCTTCTAAATGAAACATTTATCATTCCATCGATCTAGTTAATTTCCTTCTTTCAAACTTGATTTTTAACTAATATATTGGGTGTTAGGAGTGGAAAAAAAATGCAAGAAATGATTATGATGAATATTATAAGTTTATATTGCCTGTGTTTTCAAGTTTAATTCCAAAATGATAATATTTGTGGAGGTGATTTGAGGGATTTGAAGAATGTATATATTTGCTATATAAAAAAATAATTTGTTTGAGAACTTTAAGTCTTAAAATTTGCTAAAGTTATAGTTACATGTTTACTTCGTCTTATTTGTTTTAATTTTTTGCAGATGTGCTCTTCTTCAAGAATTAATAACCGGTCAGCGCCCGTTAATGTTGCATCCTTATGTATTCCTTCTAAATCGACGCTTTAAATGGACTGATATCGCCATCCCTGTTACTGGGACTGATAAGTTGGTCCTATTTATCATTTTTAAAGTTTAGAATTTCTAGTTTTAGACTTAAAATTTAAAGTATTTTATGGTTAGGAATATTGCATGTGTGTTTTATCTGAAATAAATACGATATTCATATAATATTCAACTATTTACTATTTATCAGGTTTCGTGTTTATCGACTAAACCAAGCACGCAATTCACGATGTTATTATCGTTGTTCAGGATGTGAGACAATGGCAAAGGAACCTGGCGATCCAATTGCCCAAATAAAACTTGCTGATGGTTATTTCTGAATTTTTTATTTAAATCCTACCAATAAATGATTGGTTAAATTCTAGAATAATTTGCTGAAATACCAATGCCAATTTTGTTTACTGCTGATTGCATAGTTTCCGATGTTAATTTAAGGGAGATTAATGTAATTGAATTGCAAGTTCAAGCTGATATTTGCACATTTCATTTTTTTTTTATTACAGGTCATTTGGTAGGTGATGTTAATCCAGTCCACAATTTAAAATGTGAATTGTTTACATTTTCCAATATTGTTAACCGACAGTTCGATAGGGAAGCTCGTCTTGATGTTTACAACGCTATTATGAGCCCGAAAGAGGCTTGGAATAGGGTAATTATCATTTTTTCTCCAAGGTTCACAAAGAATTTTCAATTATAAAATTATAAAACAAAAATGATGGATGGGTCGGCTTATAAGGTAGCTTCAGCAATACGAGCTAGGCAACAAAATCAATTAAGTATGTGTTTATATATATATTATTGAGCAGTATTTGGTAGTTTCACCCCCAAAAGTATCCTCTATGAGTCAGTATTTCTGTGAATCATCTGGTTTTCTTTTTTTTTTTTTTCATTTTTAGGGTCGGTTACGAGCTCTCAGAGCAGAGAGTTTGGCACCTAAAGGTTTGCTAAATTCAGATGAATATCCGACGTGGGATGTGATGAACAAAGTTATCATGAAACTATGGAGAAGTGCTGTTAGTTTCTTTTTATGTTTGTTTATTTCATTTTTCACTCTCTATACTTTATTTGTAAATCATTAATGAGAAAATTCTACTTTTTGTTAGCTATGTTTACATTACTTGTATCTGTGTTAGTAATGGAGATTTTTGGCGTTCGGCAGACGAATAGTTGTAGCAAAAGGTTTCATCCATTAACGAAGGGTTTATTTTTCATATGTCTGATGAGACTATAATCACAGAATATTTCCGGTAGAATTGATCATTAAATCGTTTTTCTTGATTATTCTCAGGAAAATTTTGTAGGAATTTGATTGAGACTATTGTTTAGTAGCGATTTAACGCAGTTTTGGTAGTGAAATTGGATCAAACCAAGTATCATTGTTTACGAATGGTGTAAACATGAATAAAATCTTTTTTTTTTTTTTTTGGTCAGTAAATGAGCTGAGAAGATGATAGGATAAAGAGAATTCTCAGTAAATTAAAGGGTTGTATTTATTGAATTAATCCTGATTATGAGTTTACAACTTTTTAATAGTTAGATATAAACTTAGTTGTTTGAAAATATTATGTAATGAATCATTTGTCTAAAAAATATTCCAAATTTAACAACTTTATGCCAGGAATTTCTACATTATTTGATTCAGTTATTCAATTATTCCGAAATATTTTTGTAATATTTCTCGACAGTAGAAAAAGTAGAAAAATATTTTGCTTTCTTTTTTTTTTCCTGGCAAATTATCAATATAAGGTGCTTGAAATCATTTTAAACAAACCTAATAGAAAAGCATATTTGAGTGCATTTTATTTGCCATTTGAAGTTTGATGAGCTAACTTTTGAAAAAACTTTAATTAGAGTTGACTTTTTTCTGGATTTTTTGTTAGAGTTAATTATGATTTAATGAAACTACGAATGAATGTTTGCCTGTAGAAAATTTTGTTTTCATTTTCGTTTCGTAGCAGTTATTTATGAAAAGAACTGATCATATATATTATAATATTTGCCTAAGATATCATTGCAGAAGCGAGCACACGATGCTGGTATCGAAAATATTGATCGAGTTGGTAGTAAAGATTGGTGGCGTAATATTCCTCCACCATCTGCTACACGAAGAGGTATGAAAAGAGGAAATTATGACACTGCGAATTATAGTTTCCGAAATGAAGGAAGGTTTGCTTCATATTATTTTTTTTTTTTTTTCTATCAATTGTTAGGAATAATCTAGATAAAGTAGTATGAATCAATTTAATTTTTAGAAAAAAATCAAAGAGTGCATTCTTGTTAATTCTTTTTTTTTTTTTTTTTTTTTGTTTTTTACCAACTGTTCAATTTACATTTGTAAATTTTGTTATTTTTTTATTTTTTGATTTCTTTTTATACTTTAATTTTCAGTAATTTCAGTGGTGAAGTTGAAGAACTTGATGATGATGGTGATCAATCATGGTTTGTTTTTTTTATGTTAATCTTTAATGTTTTGAAAACATAATTTATCTTAAGGATTTATGTTATATAACATAGAATTTTGAAGTTCATATAAAGGTAACATATATTGATAAGAAAGCACATTTTTAAAATATTCATATGTTCATAAGTGATATTTGATGCATTTTATTATATTTCTAATTATTTTATTGAAAAAATTTATTCGTTATAAAAGAAATGACTGTTTTTTGTTTTTGTTTTTTTTACAGTATCTCAGGAGCTGGTAGTGGTGAGAATGGATGTCTTGAATTACTGGATGTGGTTAGCGAAAGTGAAATTTATACCACCGATCAAGAACCAGCTCCATCTGGTTCTTTCGAAAGAGATAGTATTGTGCCAGAGCCACCAGAACAAATTTCACTATTTTCCAACAGAACCGTTAGTGAATTTCTATGTTTTCCTAATGTCTTCTCAAATCACTTAGTTCAAATTGACTAAATCAAAATTTTAAAAATGATTTTTAAAAGAATTCTTATGAGTTTTTCAAGCCAGGAGATTTTATGGCGGAAAATGTAAAAAATTATAGGAACTTAAAAAAAAAAAAACAAAGATTGTTATTGTGTTCTTTTCAAGGAGCCTGGTAAACGCGTATTACAGCAGGGCAATCATGTTAGCTTATCTGTATTACCTGGTGATAGAGACGAGAAAGCAACAGATGGTTTCTTGCGTAATAGTGAGGAAAATAGCGATGTGCAGTATTATCTACTACAAGATTATGATGATGGCGATGACGATGATGATGATAATGGTGATGGTGATGATGATGATGACATTGGTGATGGAGATGAAGATAGAGATAGAGACGGTAATGATGATAATGATAATGATGTGGATGTAGATAATGTCGATCAGATCAACATTGATAATGCTGATGATGAAGTGATGCGTGAATACAATGATGTATTAACCGAAGTGGATCGTCTTGAACGAAGTTTGTTATCATAATATGCTTCTTTTAAAGAAGGGAGAAGAAAAGAGAAGGGTTTTTGTTTGCATCGTGTTTATTTTTTAAGTAGTAAATAATTCTATATCCGTATCAGTATTTAATGCAATAATTAAATGTAAAGATTCATAGTTTTATCAAAAAAAAAAGAAAAAAAAAAGAACAAAAGAAACTTGAATTATTTTGAAATAATATTAATATATAACATGTTTATTTTATTTTTGCTAGATTTCATTAGGAATATTTGTTGTGTTGTTAATTTTAGAAGCAGTAGCAGCAACTGAAGGAATGACAGAGCATCGAAGAATGGGTGGAGGTCATATAGTTGAACAACGTCAACATGATGAACCGTATGAGTTACGACGAAATATTCAACATGTAGCATTGCATGAGCCTGCCGTAACATCATCACAACAACTCAACAGTACCATTTTTGCAAATCGTAAACTATTTGCAGCAATTGAGAGTTTAACACGTACATTGAATACAGATCATTCACGACAATTTCATCAGGAAATGTTGCGGACAGCAGTTGAATTATCAAATAATTACGCTGCGCAACAACGGCAACAATATACCGCAGAAACGGTAACATTAGGACGTAATGCAACCGTTGAGCGTCGAAATATGATTGCTGCATCAAGGCAACATAGTGATTATGAAGATGATGAAAAGTCATTCGGTAAAGTAATAGGAAGACGACAAGGAGCAACACCTTTACGAACATGGGCATTCAAGAAAGGATCAAAATTTGAGTAGAAAAAAAAAAAAAAAAAAAGAAAAAGAAATTATTTTTCAAAATTTGATCAAAATTTAGGCATTTTTTTTTTTTTTTTTTGAGAATATTTTAACGATAGTTAATAGATTTGGTTTTTTTTTTTTTTTGCCAAGTGCTGTAGAATTATGCTTTTTTTTTTCATTTTTTTCAAATTTTTTTTTTTGACGATGTTGCAAGCTTCATTTCACTATAATCTTGCTAATAGATGCAATAAATAATTAGAAAGTTTTCATTTTTTCAAATAATAAAATGAGAAAATGCAAGAATGTGAAATGGAATTGATGAAATTTGCTGCTTTTGCAAAATTATTATTTTTTTTTTTTTTTGCCTTAGATTTTATTTTAGTAAATTTTTATTTCATGTATGATATACAAATTGTGTCATTTCAATTTATTATATGCTATATTTTGATCATGTTTCATATTCAGTTATTTGATTTTTCATTGAAATATATACATATGTACAAAGATTAAAGTATTACTCTCTGTTTGAATATGAGAGATGAAAAATGATTCTGAAGAAAAGTTATATAATGTTAAGAGATAACATTATTAATTAACTTTTGATTTGAACTACTAAAAAATTTTGTCATCTAATGAAGCCTTCAATTTAAATATGAATATTAAAATAAGGAATTATTTTTAGACTAGAATTATCAGAAAGTTTTTTTTTTTTTTTTTTTTTTGTCAAAAAAAGTATTTGAAGTATTGAATGTTTAAATGCTAATGAAAATTGCTAAATGAAAATTTCTAATAGCAATAATTAAGTCTGCTAAATTTATTTCAACAATAGTTGCAAAATAATTTACAAAATGATATATTTTTATATGTATTATATTTTCCACTTTCATATGTGAAAGAAATGAAATATATTCGATAACTAATTATACTGCTATAATTTGAAATTAAAATGGAAAATATCTTTTGCAAATATTATTTCAATCATTTTGTGCTTTTATTTTAAAGTTTTTTTTTTTTTTTTCTCTCCAAATATATGAAAAATTAATAGTTGAATGAGTGGTGTCGTTTTTTATTCAATAAATATAATTTCATATTAAATAATTTTAACATATTTACTCTAATTTAGATAATTTATAAATGAAAAATTGAATATTTTATATTCAAATTTAATTCTAATTTTATGTCATATTTGTAACTTAAATACTTAATTTCAAAAAAATTAAAAAATTGTCAACAAAAATTAGTAAACAAAACAATTTTCTCTTAAATTTTGCTTTTTTTTTCTTACTTTCATTCAAAATTTAAACTCTATTTCTTCATTTCTTTTACAATTTATACAATTTTAATTTAAAATTTAATCTATAAACTTATATGAGAATGTATTTCATCTTCAAATTTATTAATTCACAGTTTTAAAAAAAGGAAATCTATTATTTCTAAAATTTGAAAATATAATTTTGCATTCTTTTTTTTTTTTTAATGATTTTTAAAATTTAATTTTTATATATAGCATTAAAAGATTCAAAAATATGCAATATCATAGCAAATATATTTACTTTAAGTGTTAGCAATGGAATTATTCGAGCAAAAAAAAAAAAAAAAAAAAAATTTATACCAAAAGAAAAACTAAAAAATATTTTTATTAATGGATTTTTTTTTTTTTTTTTCTAAAAATTTTCAACAAATATTTACTAATTTTTTTTTCTTCTTTCATTCAGGTTATAAATAGTAATAAAAGTTATAACATTTATATAAAATTATAAATTATTTATTTATTTATTATTTATTCATATTTTATAAAGTATTTAAATATTTTATGATTTCCTTTTTTTTTTTTTTTTCTTCAATATTTGTTAAAAAATTGCATTTTCAATTTCTAAATCGATTAATTCTAAATTTGTTTAACTTAAAAAAAATTTAATTGATAATTTTCAAAATTATTTGCATAAACAATCAAATATGTTTACAAAATATGTATATTAATATATAATGATAAATTTATAATTCAAAAATTTAATAATGTTAAACTTAATAAATTCAAAACTTAATATTTGTTAATAATTTTTAATTAATTCAAAAAAGAAAAAATTTAATAAGCAATTAGCTAATCATATATAATAGCAAAAAATTGCATAATTAATTAGCAAAGTTGATAATTAAACAAAAATTATTAGCTAATTGCTATTATATAAATAAATTTTTAATAAATTTATTAAATAAATTTTTCATGACAAATTTTTCAATTTCTATTTTTTCCTAAATCATTTCTAAATTTATTTAACTTTAAAAATCTCAATTGATAATTTACAAATTTATTTATTATTTATTCCACATGCGACAATATCTTTAGTTTTACTAAGTTTTTAATGATTTTTTTTTTTAGTTTTAATTTTAAAATGTTATTATTAAATAAATTTTAAGCTTTTAAAACGTTACTATGAAATAAATTTTGCATGAAGAATTTTTCAATTTCTAATTTTTCCTAAATAAGTTCTAAATTTATTTAACTTAAAAAATCTAAATTGATAATTTACAAATTTATTTATTATTTATTCCACATGTGACAATATCTTTAGTTTTACTAAGTTTTTAAAGAGCTTTTTTTAGTTTTAATTTTGATTTTAAAATGTTGCATATAAATAATGTTGTAATATTTTATTTAAACATATTTAAATATTTTATTGATATAATTTATCAAAATAAATTGAATTTATAAGAATGAAATTTGATTTAATTTTTAATTTAATTTTTTTTTTCATTTTTTTTTTCTTTATAAATTCATTTTTTAATGATAAAAAATTTTGTTGTGTAATATGCATGATGAAGACATCCTAAAATTAAATATAATTTATGCATTATTTGAATGATAATTTCAATTCAAATAATTTTATGCATTTCAAATTTTCAAATATTATTATTTTTTTATTTTTTTGCAACCTGAAATTATTCAGTACAAATCAGCTATATTCCATATATTTTTCTTGCTGTTTGCTATTTCGTCGTACCAAAAATAATGGTTTTGATCCATATAAAACACGAAATAATTCCTAAAATATTATTTTTTTTTTAAAAAATTTTGAAATAAATTCAAATTTAATTGAAATTAATAATTTTTTTTTAAATTTAAAATTTTGTGAATAAAAAAATTTTACAAATTTAATAGCACAATGCATAAAATAATTTTTGAAAATAAGAAGAATTACAAAAATTAAAAATAAATCTATAAATGAATGAGGAATAACTTTAAATATATAGGAATTTAGAGAAAAGTAAAAAATCGCGTATGAAACAAAAAAAAAAAACCGGAAAACTGGAAAACCGGAAAATATATACCTCAATTCGAGTTACACTGAATGGTACAGACGAATTCAGCTCTGTAGTAATTTCAATTTTATCATAAATCAATAGAATATAAATAAATGTGAACCACCAAGCGATCATATCGAATGTATCACAAATTTGATCGTTTTTTTTTTTTTTGTTTCAAAATTTCAAAAAGATCATTAAAAAACAATCTAAAAATGATAAATGATCAATATTCAGTGATAAATGATCAATATTCAATGATAAATGATCAATATTCAATGATAAATGATCAATATTCAATGATAAATGATCAATATTCAATGATAAATGATCAAAATTCAATAACAAATAATTGATAATCAATGATATATGGTCAATATTCAATGATAAATGATTAATATTTGATGATAAATGATTAGTATCTAATGATAAATGATCAATATTCAGTGATAAGTGATCAATATTCAATGATAAATAATCAACATTTAATAATAAATTATTAATCATTAAAATCACACCTAAAAAAACAAACGAAAAAAAAATTAAATAAATAAAAATAAAATAAATGAATAAAATTGAAGAATGACGTGATATTATTGTGATAAATGCTACTTTTTTTAAAATTTTAAAGAATCAATTTTCAATTGAGAATAAATTTCAAAGTTATTTCTGAAATTTCAGCATATTTTTCTTTATATTAGCAAGAAAAGAAAAATTTTAGATTTAGTCTGGTTACAAAAAATTAAAAATTAAAAGTTGAAATTGCACTTAAAAACTTAAAAAAAAAAACAAAAATCGAAAATTAAAAATGGTAATACAAAAATGGAAAAACAGAAAATAAAAAAGCTTAAAAGTTTCAAATTTTTACTAATTTAATCAATTTTCTAAAATTTAAAAAAGTCATTTTTTCATTTTTAAATTCTAGAAAAGAAAAAAAATTTTTTTTTTTTTTCTTTCCTAAAGTAATGGATATTTTATATTAAATTAGCTTAGCAAATTTCTTATTTACCTTTTAACGTCATATCACTTTCAAACCTAATTTGCATTTATGACATCATTCATCTGATAATTAAAAATTAAAAATTACTGCCATAAAGGCTTTTATTAAATGCCAATAATATATTTCGATGACTTGTAAACAAATTATAGGAATATATTACTGTAATTTGTGATTGTAAACAAATTATAAAAATATATTACTGTAATTTGTGACTGTAAACAAATTATAAAAATATATTACTGTAATTTGTGATTGTAAACAAATTATAAAAATATATTACTGTAATTTGTGATTGTAAACAAATTATAAAAATATATTACTGTAATTTGTGACTGTAAACAAATTATAAAAATATATTACTGTAATTTGTGATTGTAAACAAATTATAAAAATATATTACTGTAATTTGTGATTGTAAACAAATTATAGGAATATATTACTGTGATTTGTGATTGTAAACAAATTATAGGAATATATTACTGTGATTTGTGATTGTAAACAAATTATAGGAATATATTACTGTAATTTGTGATTGTAAACTAATTGTGAAAATATATTACTGTAATTTGATATGGTAAACAAATTATAGGAATATATTACTGTGATTTGTGATTGTAAACAAATTATAAAAATATATTACTGTAATTTGTGATTGTAAACTAATTGTGAAAATATATTACTGTAATTTGATATGGTAAACAAATTATAGGAATATATTACTGTGATTTGTGATTTGTAAACAAATTATTTATTTGCTTAATTAATATTTCATATTTTTTACAATAATATTTCATATTTTTTACAAATTTACCAATTTCATTTTACTTTGAACTTATTATTATAATTGTTATTGTTATTTTAGCATAATTTATAATCACAAATGATATTATGCGACAGGTGAAATAGTTGAAAAATGTTTTCTCGAATGCTTAAATGCTAAAAGTTATTACAATCTCAATTTTATAATCTCAAATTAGTTAAAAATAGCTAAAAGTTATTAAAAAAAAAAAAAAAGCTTAAATAGCTAAAAATAAAACTCAATTAATTGAAAATAGCTAAAAATATAAACTCAATTAATTGAAAATAGCTAAAAATTATTTGAAAAAAATTTTAACTAAAAATTATAAACTCAAATTATTTGAATAAATTTTCTCTGTTAAATGCTAAAAAAAAAAAACAAAATGCAGCAAATTATAAAAATAAAATATAACAAAAAAGTTGCATGAAAAATAAAAGGGAGAGAGAGAGAGGGAGGGAGGGTAAAAGAAAGAAAGAGAGGAAATGAAAATGGAAGTAAGCAAATCTTAAGTTTAGCTTTTTTATTGATGTCAAAATAAAATATAACAAAAAAGTAACATAAGAAATGAGAAAGGGAGAGAGGGAGAGAGAGAGAGGAGGGTAAAAGAAAGAAAGAAAGAAAGAAAGGAAATGAAAATGGAAGTAAACAAATCTTAAGTTTAGCTGTTTTATTAATGCATTAAATAATAGATCAATGCTTCAAATAAGCAATAAACATATTCAAATGACGAAAGAATTTTTTTTTTTTTGGCTATAAATAGAAAAAAATTGGAATGAATTAGCTAATGTAGAAAAATTTTTCAAATATTATAAATTAATAATAATTTTAAACTCTATTTAATAAAAAAGTTAAAAATAATTTCGTAAAAAAAATTGCGAGTAGAAAAATTATTTTATTATTTCTATGTAAAATAAATAAATAAATTTATTGATATTATTATTATTATTTAGAATTACTAAATTAATAATAATTTTAAACTTTATTCAAAAAAAAGAAAAGTTGAAAATAACTTTGTAAAAAAAAATTGCGAATAGAAAAATGATTTTATTATTTCTATGTGAAATAAACAAATAAATTTATTGATACTATTATTATTATTTAAAATTATTACTTTCAGACATTATTTTATGTGATATAATAAAATCAAATAAATTAATTTTTTTTTTTAAATTAAATCTTTTTGAAATATTTCTTTTCTTTTTGCAAATTTCTGCAATTATTATTTATTTCAAATTTATTTTATTAAAAAAAAAAAAAGCGAATGATTAAATTTGCAATAAAATTATTTCTTATATAATTAGCAAACATTATAATGCGTTTAATTTTCTTCTCTTCTTTCCATTTAAATTATAAAAATTAATCGATTTGAGAAAATAATTTAATCGGAATTTGTGAATTAAATTTTAATTTGCTAAATTACTTAATTAAAATTTTTTATCAAATATAAAACTTATTTTAGATAACTTTTTTTAGATAACAAATATAAAACTTTTTTTGATGATGAATATTATTTTAGATAACATTAAAAGCAGCTTAATCACATCATTTTGAAATTATTGTTGCTGTAATTTCATTTTCATCGAAATAAAAAAATAAATAAATAAATAAAAACAAAAAGAAAACAAATGTTTAATTCATTGTTTTAAAAATACAAAATATATTTGAATAATATCCTTGGCTATTTTATTTATTAGCCTAGTCATTACTTTTAGCAAAATGCTAAAATATTAGCTTTCATTTTTTTTTTTAAAGGTATTTTTTTTATTTTTTTTTTAACATTATTGACTTTAAATATTAATTTAAAGATTAAATTTTATTGTTTTTTTTTTTTTTTTTAACTTACTTTATTTTAACTTAACTTATTCAAAATATAATTTAAATTTGAATATAATTTAAATTTTATTGTTTAATTTTTTAACTTACAAATTTATTTTTGAAATATAATTTGAAATTGATTTAACACCAATAATGAATATAATTTTTAATTTTCAAATTATCAACAAATTATAATTTGCAAATTTTATCAATTCAATGTTTTTTTTTTTGTTCTTTATGTTGTATTTTTGCTTTTAATAATGATGAATTATTAGCCAACATTTCTTCTAAATCTTCCGCTGTTTTATCTGTAAAATTTTCTTTTAAAAAAAAAAAAAAAAATTAAATTTTACAAAAAAAAAAAAAAATGAAATTAAAAAAAAATGCAGACGAAATCAATTTTAACTCAATTGTTATAATCAAATTATGAATTTGAAAATTTTTAATTTGTTATTTTTGGATTTGAATTTAAAAAATTTAAATTTGAATTTAAAAAAAAAATAAAAAATTAAAATCATTCATTACTTCGACGCATAAAAGAAAATGCAGACGAAATCAGTTTTGATTCGTTGTTATAATCAAATTAAGAATTTAAAAATTGTTTCAAAAATTTTCAATTTGTTATTTTTGAATTTGAATTTAAAAAATTTAAGTGAAAAATTTAAATTTGAATTCAAAAAAACAAATAAAAAATTAAAATCATTCATTACTTCGACGCATATTTAATTCAGCTGGTGGTGGTCCATTTACTTTGATTGGATCAGATGCAAAAAATTCTTCAGCATGCTCATATTCTGGTCGTTTTTTTCGATGCTTTAACTAAAAAAAAAAAAAAACGAATTTTGAAATTTTTAATTGAAAAAAAAAAAAAAAAACAAAGAATTTGAAAATTTAATTAAAAAGAAAAGATTTTAATTAAAATTAGAATTTAATTTTTTTTTTTTTAAGAAAACGAATTAAAATGCTTATTAAAAGAGAAAAAAAAAATAGTGATAGCATTTTTGCTTATATTTAATTAATTAAAATAAATTTTTTTTACTTGTTTTTTTTTTTTTTTTTTGTACTATTAAGCAAATTTTATTTAATTTTGTAATTTTTAATTTTTGTATTAAATTAAAAAAAAAAAAAAAAGCACTTATTTATATAAATAAAGTAGCATTCAAAAGAGTAAAAAAATAGTGGTAGCATTTTTGTTTACATTTAATTAATTAAAATAAAATTTTTTTTACTTGTTTTTTTTTATTTAACTTTAAATTTAATTTTTTAAAAAAAAAAAAAAAAACCACACCACATATTGAAGTTGTAAATCAGATTCCCAATCATATCGATCATCATAGTGTACATCAATTCGTTTAATTAATTTAAGAAAACATTTATGTATCATTGTATAATCTGGACGATTGTAGCAATTTAAATTTCGTAAATGTGAAACTATTGGATGTAACTCTTCTATAAAATAATATTTTGAAAAAAAAAAATATATATATTTAAATAAATTAAATTCAAATAAATTAAGTATGTAAATGTTTAAAAAGAAAATAATCAATCAATTAATCAATCAACTAATTAATTAATTAATAAAATCAATCATTCACTCGATTAATCAGTAAATCAATCAATCAAGCAATCACCCAATCAATCAATTATTCAATCAACCAGTCAATCAATCATTCAGTCAACTAATTAATTAATTAATAAAATCAATCAATCACTCGATTAACCAGTAAATCAATCAATCAATCAAGCAAACAATCAATCGATCAATCAATCCACTAATCAATTAATCTTTTCGAAATCTTCTATCATTCCTTTCAATTTTTTCTCTTTCGTATTCTCGTTTATATTTGATAATTATTAATCAAATCAATCAATCAATCAATCAATCAATCAATCAATCAATCAATCAATCAATCAATCAATCAATCAATCAATCAATCAATCAATCAATTAATCAATCAAAGAAAATTCTGATAATAAAACCTGGAAAATGTGATAATAAATCCTTATCACTTATATTCATTTTTTAATTTCCAATCGTTCCTTATCTCTTTCATGTTGCCATGGTAAGCCACAATGCATTTCAATTAATAAATAAATTAATGACCAAATATCATCCTTACGTCCCTAAAAAAAATTTTCATTTTTATTTTTACTTTTTTTTTTTTTTTTTTTTTTTTTTGCAAATTTTTCATATTATTACTAATATTTTGGTTTTAAATTTATTTTTATTGCATTTTTTTCCTTTTTTTTTAATAAAATAATAAACATTTTCTTAATTTTAATATAAATAAATGAAATAAACATTTTCTTAATTTTAATATAAATTTACTATTAAATTAATAAATAACAAAATGAATTAAGAAAAAGAGAATAATAGTAATTTTATGGAAAATAAAATGAAAACAAATATGTAATAAATTGAAATTAATAATCAATTAGATATTGAATAGTTTTAAATGAAAATTAATAATCAATTCGATATTAAATACTTTCAAATTAAAAATAGTAATCAATTAGATATTAAATACTTTTAAATGAAAAAATAATCAGTTAGATATTAAATAAAAAAATAGTCAATTAAATATTAAATACTTTTAAATGGATAATTAATAATCAATTAGATATTGAATACTTTTAAATGAAAATTAATAATCAATTCGATATTAAATACTTTTAAATGGAAATTAATAATCAATTAGATTTGAATACTTTTAAATGAAAATTAGTAATCAACTAGGAATTGAATGCAACATTTCTAATTTATCAATTAATTAAATCTTTTTCCTTCCTACTTTTTTCTCCAAACTTTCTGTTCTTTTCTATTTCATTTACTCATTTCAACACCTGTTCTTTCTTTTCGTGAACTGATGGTGAACAATAGCGCATTGTGCCACGAAATTCCGCTGAACGACGTGCTCGACGTGCTATCCAATGACCTTTACGTTTTTCAAATGCATAATTACTGTAAAAATTTTATGAAAAATTTATTCTATAAAAATTTTTAATTTTTTTTTTTTATTGTTGTTTTTTTCCTTATAAAAATATATTTAAAACTTTTTTTTTTTAAATTAATAACAATATTTTGTGTTAGAAATTATTTTATTAAAGAAAAAAGAAATGATTATAAATTTGTCACATTTATAATTTAAATATTTTATTTTTATCAGTAATATGTTGATAATTTCATATCAATTTATATTTTTTACTTCAGAAAAAAAAAATGAAATATCTACATTGATATTTAATTTATTTACATAGATATTTAATTTATTCTAATCGAAGTAAATATTTAAATTTTTGTTTATCTTAAAATAATTTCTTTTCTTTCATCAATTTTCTTTTTTTTTTTTTTCATTTAATATTTTCTTTCAATTAGAAATAAATAAATAAATAAATTCTTTCATCAATTTTTTTTTTTTGAAGCTTTTTCCATTCAATTTTTTTTCTTTCTTTCATTTCTTTTACACTCTCTTTTTCAATTAGAAAATAAATAAATAAATAAATCTCTCTCTTTTTTTTTTAAAATTAGAAAAAAAATAAACAAATGAATAAATAATTATCGCGCTCTTCTTTTTTTTTTTTTTTTTTTAATATTAGGAAATAAATAAACAAGTGAATAAAGAAATAACTCTTTTTTTTAAAATAGAAAATAAATAAACAAACAAATAAATAAGTATCTCTCTTTTTTTTTTAATTAAATGATAAATAAATAAATATATCTCATTTTTTTTTTTTTTTTGAATTAAAAGATAAATAAACAAAGAAATAAATAAAATATCTCTCTTTCTTTTAAATTAGAAAAAAAAATAAACAAATAAATAAATAAGTACCTCTCTTTTTTTTTAAATTAAAAGATAAATAAACAAATAAATAAATATCTCTCTTCCTTTTAAATTAGAAAATAAATAAACAAATCACCGTGCTAATCCAAAATCTAAAATATGAACACATCTTGCTTGCTCAACGTCACTTTCATGTCCCATTACAAAATTAGCTGGCTTAATGTCACGATGTACAAAGCCAATATCATGTAATAATTTTATGCTATACAAACATTGTATACCAATTCGAGACCATGTTTCCATTGATAAATATTCTCCTTGACAACTTATCTTTAAAAATTTATCAAATTTATCACAACACATTCTTTTTTTGTTTTGTTTTCGTATCATTTTAATAGATAAATAGCAAATATTCCGCTTTAAAATTAACTTTTCAAATTTTAAATTTAGAAAAGTTGAAAGTACAAATTAGAAAATGGAGCAGTATTGTCGAGGAAAAGCATTTAAAAATTTGACATTTTAAAAAAATGACAGAAATTAGATTTTTAATTTTTTTAAATTTTTAATTAGATTTTTTTTATAGCAAATATACCGCTTTAAAATTAACTTTTCAAATTTTAAATTTAGAAAAGTTGAAAGTACAAATTAGAAAATGGAGCAGTATTGTCGAGGAAAAGCATTTAAAAATTTGACATTTTAAAAAATGACAGAAATTAGATTTTTAATTTTTTAAATTTTTAATTAGATTTTTTTTATAGCAAATATACCGCTTTAAAATTAACTTTTCAAATTTTAAATTTAGAAAAGTTGAAAGTACAAATTAGAAAATGGAGCAGTATTGTCGAGGAAAAGCATTTAAAAATTTGACATTTTAAAAAAATGACAGAAATTAGATTTTTAATTTTTTTAAATTTTAATTAGATTTTTTTATAGCAAATATACCGCTTTAAAATTAACTTTTCAAATTTTAAATTTAGAAAAGTTGAAAGTACAAATTAGAAAATGGAGCAGTATTGTCGAGGAAAAGCATTTAAAAATTTGGCATTTAAAAAAAAAAAAAAAACAGAAAATTTGTTGCTATAAATTAATTTGTATATTTAAATGACTTATTAAATAAAAGTAAATAAAATTTTAAAATTTAAATTTTAATATTTTTTGAGACTTTTTCAATATATTTCAATATAATCTAATATACTTATTTTTTTTTCAATTTTGATATGTTTATTATTTGATACTTTTTAATATAATTAATATTTTTCAATACTTTTTTAATATAATAAATTTGATATACTTATTTTTAATATAATTTAATATAATTATTTTCTTTTTTTAATTTTAATATATTTATTTTTGATACTTTTTTAATATATTTAATATTTTTTGATACTTTTTTAATATAATTAATATTTTTTGATATATTTTGCAACAAATAATCTAAAATACGTTCAAAAACATTTTTTCCTTCAGAAACTTTTGTTATTGTTATTTAAAAAAAAAAAAAAAAAAAAAAAAAGAATATTACAAATTTATTGCATTTTTTGAATAAATTTTGTCGTTTTAATTAGTAACTTAAAATTTAATAAATTTATGAATTTTAATTAATTACAAATTAAAATGAACAAAAAAAAAAATAATATTAATTACTTTAAGTGTTCGAAGATTTTCACCAAGTAATGTTACAATCATATATGAAAATTTTTTATGTTTTGCAGCATGAAATAATTTCACCACATGTGGCTTATCACCATCACGATTTAAAAAGTTTATTATCATAATCTGAATTATTTTAAATTTAAAAAAAAAAAAAAAAACAAAAAACAACCTTTGATAAGTTGATTTAAAAAAAAAAAAGAAAGAAATTGTAATTTCAGAAATTAAATTTTATTTTCATCTACAATTTAATAATTATTTTATATTGCTACAAATTACTAAATATAAATTTAAAAAAAAAAAAAAAAACATCGTTTGATATAACTTTAAATTTATCATTCAAATTATCACACTATCTTAGTATTTATTAAATTACTATAAATTGTTAAATATAAGTTAAAAAACAAAATAAATTCAAAAATTAATTTTGGTTATAATTTCAAAATTATCATTTCACAAAATTTGTTTGATTTAAAAGCAAAAATTTAACAAAAAAAGTATTTTCGAACTAATTAGAGCTCTTTTTCAAAAAAAAAAAATTTTTTTTTTTTAAAAAAACTATAAAATTTGACAATTATGCTCATCGATGATTCAATAATTATTATACTACTATAAATTGCTAATTATAAGTTACCTTGAAATTATCATTTAAATCACAAAATCGTTTTGTTTAAAACAAAAGTCTTTAACTTTAAGTTTAACTTTAAATTATCATTTAAATCACAAAAGCTTTTTTTTTAAAAAAACAAAAACAAAAAACAAGACAAAACTCTTTAACTTTAAATTATCACAAATTGTTTAATTTTTATTAATTAAATTAATTTTTAAATTAAAAAATTTAATAAACAGAAAACAAAAAATTTTTATTTCCCTTGAAAATACTTATTTTCAAAAGTGCTTTTTTTTTTTTTTTGAAAAAAATTTTATAAAATTTTTTTTTTTGACAAACTTCAAGTTTAATTGCTGATCCACCCTCAATATCATTTGGTTCAGCTTTTAATGCAGCATAACGACCACGTTGTTGAATATGTTCCACACGATACACTTGTCCAAAGCCGCCTTCATCTAATTTATTTTTTATCCGCCATTTACCAAATCTTAAAAAAAATTTTAAATTTTAAATTTCTCAAATATCATTTGCAAAATTTACAAATGAAAGTAAAAAAAAAAATTTTTTTTTTCTTCTTTGTTTTTAATTTTTTAAACTTTTTCCGCCGTAAATGGAAGATAAAAAAAAAAAAAGTGCGCCAAAAGATACTTTTTAGCCTAAATAATTCTAATTAATTTAATTAACTTTTTTTTTTTTTTTTAATTGGTTAACCTTTGACTAAGTTTAAGATCAATTTAATTAATTTACTTTCGACCAGGTTTAAAATCAGTTTAGTCAATTTTTTTTTAATTAGCTAACCTTCCACCGAGTTTAAAATTAATTTATTTAATTTTCTTTTTATAAGTCAACCTTCGACCAAGTTTAAAATCAATTTAATTAATTTTTAATTAGCTAACCTACGACTATAAACCTGGTTCAAAATCAATTTAATTAACTTTTCTTTAATTAGTTAACCTTCCACCGGGTTCAAAATCAATTTTATTAACTTACCTTCGATCAGGTTCAATCAAATTTTTTATTAGTTTAAATCAATTTATTTTTTTTTAATTAGCTTACCTTCGACCGGGTTTAAAATCAATCCTAAAATCAATCCAAAATCAGTTTAATCAAATTTTTTAATTAGCTAGCCTTCCACCGAGTTTAAAATCAATTTAATTAACTTTTTTTTTTTTAATTAGCTTACCTTCGACCGGGTTTAAAATCAATCCATGATGAATGCTCACTTTCAGCTGTCACTTCAACGCTCATTACTGCATACCTTTATGCAAATTTAAGCTGTACAAAAAAAAAAAAAAATAAATTCAAATTTTGGTACAATAAAATAGTATTGATAGTAATAAATGATAAATTTAATAAAATGGAAATATCAAGAATTAAATTAAAATTACTGACAAATTTAAAATTAATTCATTTTAAACGATAATAATTAAATTTCAATAAAATATTAATGATAGTAATAAATGATAAATGATAAATTTAATAAAATGGAAATATCAAGAATTAAATTAAAATTACTGACAAATTTAAAATTAATTCATTTTAAACGATAATAATTAAATTTCAATAAAATATTAATGATAGTAATAAATGATAAATGATAAATTTAATAAAATGGAAATATTAAGAATTAAATTAAAATTACTGACAAATTTAAAATTAATTCATTTTAAACGATAATAATTAAATTTCAATAAAATATTAATGATAGTAATAAATGATAAATGATAAATTTAATAAAATGGAAATATTAAGAATTAAATTAAAATTACTGACAAATTTAAAATTAATTCATTTTAAACGCTAATAAATCATTCATTTAATTAAATTTCATTTGCAATCGATCATTTTTTTTTCTAAACTTTCGTGAAAAGAAAAAATGTTACAATAAGAAATTTGTTAAAGTTTTATTCGTATTTTTTTCTGACTTATAAATTCTTTAAAATAATTTAAATGAATAAATTTTTTAATGAATAATGGTAATGCAAAAAAAAAAATAAAAAGCGAACAAATGAATTTAAATAAATTTCTTATTTTATTATTTTTTTTTCTTTTCATTTTTAAATTATATTGAAGTTTTTGAAGTATAACTGAAGCATATAATCATTTTTGAGCTATTAATTAACAATTTTAATTGTAATTGTAATTTTTTTTTAATCTCATTTTTGAATATATATTGTTAAAGTTGGGTAAACTTGATTAATTTTAATTTAGCTTAAATTACTTGGATTGAAACATTCATATTAGTATTATTTATCACTGTCACCTGTCACCTGTCACTGTCACTTAAAATATGGGAAATTTGATGGTCACATAAATTTAATTAACCTTAATTTAGTTTGAATTATTTGAATAGAAACATTTATATCAGTATTATTTATTGTCACCTATCACTGTCACTTGAAATATGAGAAAATCAAACATTCATATTAGTATTATTTGTCGTCACCTGTCACCTGTCACTGTCACTTAAAATATGACAAATTCGATGGTCGCATAAACTTAGTTAACTTTAATTTAACTTAAATTACTTAAATATATAATTAATTTTAATTTAGCTTAGATTACTTGGATAGAAGCATTCATATTAGTATCTCACCTGTCACCTGTCACATAAAATATGAGAAATTCGATGGTCGCATAAGCTTAATTAACTTTAATTTAGCTTGAATTACTTGAATAGAAACATTCCTACAGTATTATTTATTGTCACCTGTCACCTGTCACTTAAAATATGACAAATTCAATATACCACTACCTTACCACAGCAATATTAGCACAACTAATAACACGAAACGACACGTATATTTGTCACCTATAAACAATAATTAAAAAAAAATTTGAATTATTATTTACTTTTATAGCAAAGCAAAATTTGCATACTAATAGAGAAAATATGCTTTTTTTGCACAAATTTTCTGCATTTTTAGCATAAAAAATAATTTACATTTGAAAATAATTTTTTAGATTTTCAAAAAGTCTTTGAAAGAATTAATATTATATTTATTTTTATATTATTTTACAAAATTTTAAAATATTTATTTAAAATAGACAAGCAAAGTGATATTATTAAAACATTATAATTGATAATTTATATGAACTTTTTCACACTTACGTGAATATCTCAATAATTTGCACTAATTACAATATTTTTTGGGTAATTAATTTAAATTTCAGGATAACCGATATCACAAAATGTTAATAATTTGTGATAATATTTCGGCAAAAAAAATTTTGCCGGAAACGGAAGATCACATTGCCTGAAATTATTACCCTAAGCAAAATGCCAAAAAAAAGAATTACAATATTATTTGGGTAATTGATCTAAATTTCAGGTTAACCGTTTACGTATATCTCAAAATTTTAATAATTTGTAATAATATTTCGGCAAAAAAAAATTTTGCCAGAAACGGAAGATCACATTGCCTGAAAATATTACCATCTACGTATATCTCAAAATTTTAATAATTTCTAATAATACTTTGGCAAAAAAATTTTGCCGGAAACGAAAGATCACATTGCCTGAAAATATTACCCCAAGCAAAATGCCAAAAAAAAGAATTACAATATTATTTGGGTAATTTACCTAAATTTCAGGTTAACCATCTACGTATATCTCAAAATTTTAATAATTTGTAATAATATTTCGGCAAAAAAAATTTTGCCAGAAACGGAAGATCACATTGCCTGAAAATATTACCCTAAGCAAAGTGTCAAAAAAAAAGAATTACAATATTATTTGGGTAATTTATCTAAATTTCAGGTTAACCATCTACGTATATCTCAAAATTTTAATAATTTCTAATAATACTTTGGCAAAAAAATTTTGCCGGAAACGGAAGATCACATTGCCCGAAAATATTACCCTAAGCAAAATGCCAAAAAAAAGAGATTAAAATATTAGTATAAATTAATGGAAATTCAATTTTAATTTGTATTTCATTTCAAATTTGTTGTTAAAATTAATTAAAAATTAAATAAAGTTAACAATGGATTATTTATAAATTAATAAGTAATTTTAATTAATAAACTAAATTAGTAAGAAATTTTATTATTGCATTAGAAATATGCGAAATTTCATCAATTTATTAAATAATTAAGATTTGAAAAAGGTTAGATAACATATTTTAACATTTGAAATTAATCATTCAAATAATTTCTAAAAATATTTCGGAAAAAAATTTTGCCGGAAACGGAAGATCAAGTAGACTGCAAATACTGGTACGATGGTATTAATAAATTTCTAAGTGATATAATATTTTGATCAAATAAACAAAAGCATTTGCAAAATTATGGATATAAAATATTATTTATTTATTTCATTTTGTAGCAAAATTTTCATTATATTAAATTCCAATATCGTTTCTTTCAAATTCTTCCGGATTTGTTGTCGGAAATGATGGATCATATTCCAGTGCTGATAAACGTTTCCGTTTGCTAGGCTGTAAAATATTTTTTCTTCAATAAAATTCTAAACATAGAAATAATTTCCTTTTTTTTATTTCAAATAAATTTAATTACGCAAACATTTCAATCATAAAAATTTCAATATTGAATTTTGCAACACAAAAAACCGGAAATTGATAAATCAGGAAAAGATAAAGCCGGTTGCAATAGCAATAATTGTTCCTATTCGTTTTTCTTTTTTTTTTTATTTCAAATACATTTAATTACACAAACATTTGTATCACAAAAATTTCAAATATTTCAATCTTGCAAAAAAAAAAACCGGAAATTAATAAATCAGGAAAAGGTAGAACCGGTAGCAGTGGAGATTGCTGTCCGGTTGTTACACTTGGAACCAAAGGAATTGAACTTCGAAGTGCACTAATAAATTCTTTAAATGGATTTTTTTGTTTTAATCGATTTTCAGACACATTTTGTACCTTTGATAAATCCTGAAAAAAAAAAAATTTCTTTTTTGAATTATTCCTGAATTACAAAAAGAAAAAGAAAGAAAGAAATATTTTTAAAATTTTATTAAATCCTGAAATTCACATTTTGATTTGCGTTTAAATTGCATTCATTCGATGAATCATTTTGCATTGATGTTTGTTCGGATCCGGAATGATCAATTTTTTCCGATTTCGAATGTGATGATGAAGTTTTTTCTCGTGAATCTGCTTCAAGAATTACATTATTACCCTAAAATGATGCATTTTTTGAAAATGAAAAACGAAAAAAAGTTTAATTTAAAATTTTATAAATTTTAGAAAAAAATAAAAAAAAAAAGGAAAGGAAGAAAACAAAATTGTACATTATCATTTTATATACATTCTGATATTTCAATTGCTGTTTTAAGAATTATTTCAGAAAAGTTATACTTCGGTTATATTTCAGGAAAGTTATACTTTAGTTATATTCAGGAAAGTTGTACTTCAGTTATATTTCAGGAATGTTATACTTCAGATACTTCAGTTACACTTCAGGAGGGTTATACTTCAGTTATATTTCAGGAAAGTTATACTTTAGTTATATTTCAGGAAAGTTATACTCTAGGAATGTTATACTTCAGGAAAGTTGTACTTCAGTTATATTTCAGGAATGTTATACTTTAGGAATGTTATACTTCAGATACTTCAGGAAAGCTATACTTCAGTTATACTTCAGGAAAGTTATACTTCAGTTATATTTCAGGAAATTTATCCTTCAGTTATATTCAGGAAAGTTATACTTCAGTTATATTTCAGAGAAGTTATACTTCAGTTACACTTCAGGAAAGCAATACTTCAGATATTTCAATTATACTTCAGGAATGTTATACTTCAGATACTACAGATCAACAATTTAGATAATTTCTGATAATCCTGATAAAAATGATAAGATTACTGGAAAGCATACCACAAGATCCCAATCCCATGGATCTGAATAAGAAACCTGTAATCGAATCAATGTTTTCTGCAATTGATTATAGATTAATTTATAATTGGGACGTGTTTCATAGTTTAATGATCGAATATGTTGCATTATTTCAATCCATTCTTCCGGGCAATCTTTAAATAATTTTGCATCGCTAATTGTTTCTTTTTCCTTTGCGACTGGTTTTTCTAACTGCAAACACTAATTCTTTACAGTGATCAAAAAAACTGATCAAAATTGATTGATTGATTGATTTTTCCCTAATTATAAGAAATAAATTCAACCTTAAATAAGCCTAAATAATTGTTTGATTAATATCTTCAATTTAAAGAAAAAAAAAAAGCAAATAATTGTTTATTTAAAATAACGCATCGATTAATTGATTAATTGATTGATTTGATTTTTTTTCCTTAATATATAAGAAATAAATTTAATCTTAAATAATAACACTAAAAAATTATTCAATTAATATCCTTAATTTAAAAGAAAACAATAAATAATTGTTTATTTGAAATAACGCATCGATTAATTAATTAAATAATTAACAGATTAATTTTTTCCTAATGTATACGAAATAAATTCAACTTTAAATAATCTAAAAAATTATTCAATTATATGTTGATTTAAAAAAAAAAAAAAAAATAGCAAATAATTGTTTATTAAAATAACGCATCGATTAATTGATTAATTGATTGATTTGATTTTTTTTTCCTTAATATATAAGAAATAAATTTAATCTTAAATAATAACACTAAAAATTATTCAATTAATATCTTTAATTTAAAAGAAACAATAAATAATTGTTTATTTGAAATAACGCATCGATTAATTAATTAAATAATTAACAGATTAATTTTTTTTCCTAATGTATACGAAATAAATTCAACTTTAAATAATTCTAAAAATTATTCAATTAATATGTTTGATTTAAAAAAAAAAAAAAAAAAAAGCAAATAATTGTTTATTTAAAATAACGCATCGATTAATTGATTAATTGATTGATTTGATTTTTTTTCCTTAATATATAAGAAATAAATTTAATCTTAAATAATAACACTAAAAAATTATTCAATTAATATCCTTAATTTAAAAGAAAACAATAAATAATTGTTTATTTGAAATAACGCATCGATTAATTAATTAAATAATTAACAGATTAATTTTTTTTCCTAATGTATACGAAATAAATTCAACTTTAAATAATTCTAAAAAATTATTCAATTAATATGTTTGATTTAAAAAAAAAAAAAAAAAAATAGCAAATAATTGTTTATTTGAAATAACGCATCGATTAATTGATTGATTGACTGATTGATGATTGATTTTTTCCCTAATATATACGAAATAAATTTAACCTTAAATAACCCTAAAAATTATTCGATTAATATCTTTAATTTTTTTAAAAAAAAAGCAAACAAACAAACAAATAATTGTTTATTTAAAATTATTTATGATTTTACTTTAATATCACGCCATGGAAGTCCAGTAGTTAAATCAACAAGAATGTAAGCAAGTGACCAGAGGTCATCTGCTCGGCATACATCTTGTCGTTTATGAATACGTGGTGAGCAATACCTGAATTTAACTATTATTTTTGAAAATGTATGAAATAATTGTAAACAAACTTCTTAGCTACATTTAATAAATAACTAATTTAAATTTATAAACAATAATTAAAATAAACAAATAAACAATGGCACTTTATTACTTTTTTCATATATTTCAAATAAAATTAATGTAAATTAATAATTTTGCTTTTCATTTGACAAATATTAGAAAATAAATTTGTTTAATAATTTTCAATTACATATCAAAAAGTTAATAAAATAGCATATAATTTAATTTAATCTAATTTAATTAAAATTATCCAAATAAATTTTCAAATTACTTTCTCTTTTTTTTTTAATACCTTAAAATGCCACAGACAAAAAAAAAAAAAATAAGTGAATAAACAATTTTGCATTTTGCTACTTTTTTTTTCATATATTTCTAATAAAATCAATGTGAATTAATAATTTTGCTTTTCTCATTAATTATAATTTTACAAAAAATCAAAAGTTAATAACATATAATAATAATAATTTAGTTTTTTTTTTTTTAATTTAGTTAATATATAATAATTTTAGTACAAAAAGTTAATAATATATAATAATAGGCATATAATTTAATTTAATTAAAATTATCCAAATAAATTTTTAAGTTACTTTCTTTTTTTTTCAATACCTTAAAATGCCATATAATAATAATAGTAATAATTTTAGTTTTTTTTTTTTTTTTTTTTTAATTTAGTTAATATATAATAATTTTAGTACCAAAAGTTAATAATATATAATAATAGGCATATAATTTAATTTAATTCAATTTAATTTAATTAAAATTATCCAAATAAATTTCAAATTTTTTTTTTTTTTTTAATACCTTAAAATGCCACGGACAAAGACTTTTTGTCGTTGTGGTCGAATTGTCACTGAGCCATTCAAATTCTTTCGAATATATGTTCGACACATTCCAAAATCAACCAAAAAGATCATTTTTGCTGCTTTACCGCTTAATCCAACTAGCATATCGCCTAGAACAATTATTTTAGATTGAGAGAATCAATCAGTTGTTGGAATAAATTAATTATTAATTAATTAATTAAAAATAATTAATTAATTAATTTTCTTTATATGATAAGTTGATGAGTTTTGCAATGTTTAATTCTTAATCAAAATTAATTTTCGTATTTTAAATTTCGAAAATTTGCATTCAATTGAAAAAAAGTTTAATTAAATAGCTAATTAATTGTTAAATAATCATATCATTGATTAGCTTTTAGAAAAAAAAAAATGATTCATATAATCTACATAAAGCTATTTTTTTAATTTTTGCATTTTAAATTTAAAAATTTGAATTGAATTGAAAAACTTTATCAAATAGCTGATTTGATAATCGTTTTATATTTGAATTTATATTTTAATAATCGATTTATTTATATTGAAATTTATATTTGAATAATCATTTGATTGATTAGTTTTTAGAAGAAAATAATCTATTACTTACCTATATTAAACTATTTCTAAAATTTTCATATTTTAAATTTCAAAATTTGAAATGGAATTTCAAAAAAAAAAAAAAAAAATTTGAATTGGATTGAAAATTTCAATCATATAAATAATCATTTAATTGATTAGTTTTTAGAAGAAAATAATCTATTACTTACCTACATTAAACTATTTCTAAAATTTTCGCATTTTAAATTTCAAAAATTTGAATTGGATTAAACTTTTGTGAATTGGCTGATTTGATAATCATTTTATATTTAAATTTACATTTAAATAATCATTTTATTGATTAGTTTTTTTTGAAAAAATGAAATTTTTTAAATTAATTTTTTTTTTATTATTTTATTACTTATATTACTTAAACTACTTTTCGTCATAAAATAAAATTAAACCAATTTTTAAATCTCGTAAAATATAGCCAATTTCATGTATTTGTTTAATTTGATATAATGTATGCACGGCAATACGAGCTGAACATCCCGGTGATAGTAATTTATTTGGTAAATTCTGCCGTAAAGTCCAAATACTTTTGCCGAATAATGTTGTTAACATAAATGAAAACTAAACAATATACAATTTTTTTTAAAAAAAAATTAAAAAAAAAAAAATATTTTTAAAAATTTATTTTAGTTATTTTATCAAAATTAATCATTGATATTAATCATTTTACATTTAAAATATGTTATTTGCAAATATTATTGAATATATTTTATGATAGTTAAATTTTTTAATTTTTAATTAAATTTTTTAATTTTTACTATTTTATTTCATCATTTTACTTTTTTTTTTTTTTGATTTATTACAAAATTTAAAAGTAAATTTTAAATTAAATTATTAAATTTTTACCAGTTCATAACGTTCACAATAATATAATCTAGCTTTCTCCTTTCTTTTTTGATTTATTAGCAAAATTTATCTTATCAAATTTGAAATAAAATTTTTTGAATTTAAATTATTTAAATTATTTTTTAATTAAATTCACAACGTTCACAATAATATAGCCTGGCTTTCTCTTTATTTCTTGATTTATTAACAAAATTTGTCTTATCAATTTGAAATAAATTTTTTGAATTTAATTATTTAAACTTAAATTATTTTTTATTTAATTCAATTTAATTCACAACGTTCACAATAATACAATCTAGCTTTTTCTTTACTTTTTGATTTACTAATATAAATTGTCTTATCAAATTTGAAATAAAATTTTTTGAATTTAAATTCAAATTATTTTTTAATTTAATTTAATTTAATTCACAACGTTCACAATAATATAGCCTAGCTTTCTTCTTTATTTTTAATTTACCAATATAAATTGTCTTATCAAATTTGAAATAAATTTTTTGAATTTAAATTCAAATTATTTTTTAATTTAATTTAATTTAATTCACAACGTTCACAATAATATAGCCTAGCTTTCTTCTTTATTTTTTAATTTACCAATATAAATTGTCTTATCAAATTTGAAATAAAATTTTTTGAATTTAAATTCAAATTATTTTTTAATTTAATTTAATTTAATTCACAACGTTCACAATAATATAGCCTAGCTTTCTTCTTTATTTTTTGAATTACTAATATAAATTGTCTTATCAAATTTGAAATAAGATTTTTTGAATTTAAATTCAAATTATTTTTTAATTTAATTTAATTTAATTCACAACGTTCACAATAATATAGCCTAGCTTTCTTCTTTATTTTTAATTTACCAATATAAATTGTCTTATCAAATTTGAAATAAAATTTTTGAATTTAAATTCAAATTATTTTTTAATTTAATTTAATTCACAACGTTCACAATAATATAGCCTAGCTTTCTTCTTTATTTTTAATTTACCAATATAAATTGTCTTATCAAATTTGAAATAAAATTTTTGAATTTAAATTCAAATTATTTTTTAATTTAATTTAATTTAATTCACAACGTTCACAATAATATAGCCTAGCTTTCTTCTTTATTTTTTAATTTACTAATATAAATTGTCTTATCAAATTTGAAATAAAATTTTTTGAATTTAAATTCAAATTATTTTTTAATTTAAATTATTAAATTTTTACCGGTTCACAACGTTCACAATAATATAATCTAGCCATATTTTCACGTGTTTCCAATTTGTGTAAAACAGCAATTTCTTGATGTAAATAATTAGTCTTTGATCCTCGATCATATTCTATCTAACAATAATTAATTTTAAATAATTTTAAATTCAAAAAATTTTTTCATTATTTTAAAAATTATTTCTTATTTAATAGCAAAAAAAAAAGACAAAAAAATTTGCTAACATTTATTGCATATTTTTATAGCTATAATAGATAAATTTAATAAAAATTTTTTTAACATAATAAATTTAACAATAAACAAATTTGTTTTATTTTATTTGCATTAAATTATATATTTAAATTTTTTGCTTTTTTTTTTTTCACTCTATTACAAATTAAATTTTTTGGCCTTTTTTTTTAAATAATAATATAACAAATTATTAAATATTACAAATTTTTTAAATATTACAAATTATATACAAATTATTTAATTAAATATTACAAAAATTTATACAAATTATATAAATATATTAAAATTATACAATTTATTTAAATATTACAAATTATATACAAATTATTAATTAAATATTACAAAAAATTAGACAAATTAAATAAATATTACAATTATAAAATATAAATTACAAATAAAAATTATAATTATAATATTACAAATTATATTTTTAATAAATTTGCAAAAAAAAAAAAAAAAAAAAGAAAGAAAAAGTTTTTAGAAAAAACCTTTATGCAATATTTTTGACGATTATCAAATTTATCCTCAACTTTAAATACAGTACTATAACGACCCATTGATAATGTTTCGAACAAAAAGCGCCCCTCAATAACTGTTCCGGGCGGTAATTGGATTGCTAGCGGATTTGTCTTACTCATCACACTATAACACAGGTTACTCTTTTTTTTTTTTAAGTTGCTTTTTAAATTTTTTTAAATTACTTTTTTTTTTTTAAGTTACTATACAAGGCTGCAATTTTATGCATTTTTTCCTTAGACTGTGCAAATTTTTTATTTTAGAAATTTTATACTATGCGAATTTTCATTTTAAAATTTTAGACTATGCGAATTTTTATTTTAGAAATTTAAACTATGCGAATTTTTATTTTAGAAATTTTAAACTATGCGAATTTTTATTTTAGAATTTTATACTATGCGAATTTTTATTTTAGAAATTTTGTTTATAATAAAAATAAATGCATGATGGATTGATTAATAAAGTTTGCATCACTGATTACTGATAATGAAGTGATAATGATATCAGCTGATAATGATATCGGCTGAACAAGAAACTTTAATGTAATATACAGAAAATTTTTGATTAACAAAGGTTTGCTTCAACTATTTTAAGTATATTTAATTATCAATTTAATTATTGTATTACCTAATAAAGTTAATCAGCAACTTTTAATCATTTCATCAGTAATTTGATATTTTAATTTCTTGTGCAAATTGCAATAATTTTAAAATCAAAATTCAATTGTTCAACATGTCAAAACAAACGTACCATTGATTCTTCATAATTAAACAATATTAAGTAAATGTAAAGCAAAGTTATTTATAAGTACTACTAAGTAAAATTTGCATAAGTTAAAGTATAAGTTAAACCAATTGTTGCTAAGTATTTTTCATATCAGTAAATAACAACACGTATTTTCTTACGTGTTTTAAGCGTTTGCTGAAATCAATTTTTAGGGTAAAATAGTTGACAGATAAACAATTTTCACGTACGATAGTACCTAACGTCACGTGACATTTTGTTTTCACGCATAAAAGAGATCAAAAATTCTTAGCAGTTGTTTTTCTTATTTATATTTAAGCAATGAATAAAAGAAGCTAAAAATAAGCATGGAAATGCTTGATAATTAAATCACTGCTTATGAATTGTAGGCTAAAATGCCAACTTGGCTTGTAAGGCTAATTAGGCTTCAATGTAAAATATTATCGAGCAGAATGGTTGAATTGTAGGCTAAAATATGTCAGCTTGGCTTGTAAGGCTAACTATTGATATGGCCTTCAATGTAAAATATTATCGAGCAGAATGGTTGAATTGTGTGGCCAAGATGTGATCTTGGCTTGTAAGGCTAATTATTGATATGGCCTTCAGTGTAAAATATTATCGAGCAGAATGGTTGAATTGTAGGCTAAAATATGTCAGCTTGGCTTGTAAGGCTAATTATTGATATGGCCTTCAATGTAAAATATTATCGAGCAGAATGGTTGAATTGTGTGGCCAAGATGTGATCTTGGCTTGTAAGCCTAATTATTTATAAGGCTTCATTGTAAAATATTATCGAGCAGAATGGTTGAATTGTGTGGCCAAGATGTGAGCTTAGCTTGTAAGCCTAATTATTTATAAGGCTTTAATGTCAAATATTACTCAACAAAATGATTTACTTTATCCAAACATATGCAAACAAAAAAACGATAGCAAATAAAATTAAAACAATTTGTTATAATTTACCTTTGTCATACATAACTATCATTTTATAATAGCAATAACTACCTGAATACAAACATTTTAAATAAAATAAAAATAAATTTTATTCAAAAAAAAAAAAAAGAAAATACAATTTTAAGTATTACTTTTAGATTAATATATATTAAGAAAATTTAATTTGTTCAAATTTAATTCTAACTTTTGTCATCCATACTATCTGTCTAATAGCTAATTTTGTTTGTTAATTAATTATTATTAATTAACTATTTTATCAGATAAATTATCACTGCTCCAAATTATTGGTACTAATTTATCATTTCTTTTTTTTAATATTTACAATTGATAAAATTGATAAAAATATATATTTTTTTCTTCGTTGAAATTTAAAAATAGTTGTGAAATTTTTAAAATTAATTAATTAAATTAATTCATAATGAAAATATAAATAATATAAAATCAAACCATTCCACTTCAATCATATAGAATTTACAATTTTTTTTGCAAAATTTTTCAAAAAAAGATAGAAACAACAAATGAATAATTTATTAAATAATTCTTTTTTGACAATAAAAAAAAAAAGTTAAAAGTTAATCGGAAAATAATAAAAATTAAATTTAAATTAATATTTTCCTTTTTATCAACAATATAAATAAATTTTTAACTATAAATTTCTCAAAAAAAAAAAAAAAAAAAAAAAACAAAATTTGATGTAAAATTTTAAATTTTAATTGTGCAATTAATTTGCATTATTAAATTTCAAATAAATACAAAAAAAAAAAAATGAGAACAATTTTTTTTTTTTTTATTTTGCATTTTTCATAATATAAATTCAATTCATTGAAGTAATCTCGAAATATTTATCATTCCTTATCATTCATAAAAAATTCCTTATCAGTTTATCAGTTTTCATTTACTTTATTCAAATTAATTTTTTCATTTTCTGATGCTTGAAATGATTGTTTGGAAGTGTTTGTCGGCGAATTTGTTTGTTTGGAAATATTTGTCATCGAATTTGATTTTGTTTTTACTGATTGCAAATCCTTTAATAAAAATTATTATCATTTAATCATTTCACTGATTTGTATCATATCAGTTTATCATTTTTAATTGAATTGATATTGATAAAGTAATTGATAATAGCTATCATACTTCTATTTAAATGATTTAATAATGATTTTGATAAAAAAAAATTTTTTTTTTTGTTATCAAAATTATTGCTATAATTTAACAACAAAAAAAAAAAAACAATTTAATAACTTATAATTAATTAACTCTAATTTAAATTTAAATTTGTTAAAAGTTAACAGAAAAAAACAATTTAATAACTTATAATTAATTAGCTCGAATTTTGAATTTAAATTTGTTAAAATTTAAACAAAGAAAAACAATTTAATGACCTATAATTAATTAACTCTAATTTGAATTTATATTTGTTAAAATTTAACAAAAAAATTTAAAAGTTTATAATTAATTAATTCCAATTTTGAATTCAAATTTGCTTAAATTTAAACAAAAAAAAAAACAATTTAATAACCTATAATTAATTAACTCAAATTTTAGTTTGTTAAAATTTAACAAAAAAATTTAAAAGTTTATAATTAATTAATTCTAATTTTGAATTCAAATTTGCTAAAATTTAAACCAAAAAAAAAAACAATTTAATGACCTATAATTAATTAACTCTAATTTAAATTTGTTAAAATTTAAACAACAAAAAATAAACAATTTAAAAACTTATAATTAATTAACTCTAATTTAAATGAAATTTTGAAGAAAATAATTACTTGTTTTGGTGACAATTTCACATTTTCCATTTTGTCACCTTCATTAGTCGTTTTGATGTTTGATGTTTTCGAAATATTACAATCATCTTTAAATAAACTTTCTGAAAGGACTGGTCGTCGTGGTCCAATTGGTTTCATTCCTACACCATATTTTTCACCATCACGGCGAATTGTCTATAAAAAATTTTTAAATTTTTAAAAAGAATTTAAAAAAAAAAAAAAAAAAAAAAACTTACTTTAATTATCATATAAGTATATTCATTTTATATTTTTAAATTTTAAAAATAGATAATGAATATTTATTGTAATAAATTAAATTACTTATATGATAGGAATCTTATTTTAAGTTATCATATGAATATATTCATTTTATATTTAAATTTTAAAAATAGATAAAGATTAATTATTTTAATAAATTAATATACTTATAATTAAAATACATATTTTAAGTTATCATATAAATTTATTCGTTTTATATAAATTTTATGCTTTAAATTTCTAAAAATAAATAATAAACATTTTTGTATTAAATTAAATTACTTATATAATAGGTTGGTTAGCAAAAATGATTGTGAAAATTTGAATAAATATTTACATAAAATATAAATACATATTTAATTAATAAAATATAATACATAAAATTAAAATATAAAATGAAATTCAAAAAAAAAAAAAATTTTTTTTAAAAAAAAAAGAGAGAAAATTAAACCGCATAAAATCCTAATCGACCTCTGGTTGGAATAAATTGTAAACCGGAAATTTGTGGCCTTGGAATTTGTACCGGTTCCATATTACATAATGAATCACGTACTGCTGCCATTAACTATCAGGAATTCTTTTTTTTTTTTTTTTTCAGGAAAGTATTATTATTAATAAATGCTAATAATAATAATAATCTATAATAAAATGAAATTGCTAAAAATATATTTTTTCAAATTAATTTTATAAAATTAAAAATGAAATAACAGTATTTAAAAACATAAAAATGAATAATGCAAATATTAATTTTGCTGCATTTAATGCAAATTTTAATTAAAAATTTAAATTGATAAGATAAGAAATTTTTTTTTTTTAAATTTTAATAAGCATTTGCATTAACAAAAATAATATATTAATTTAAGCAAATAATTTTTGTTTATCATAAAATTTTTTTTTTTTCAAAATTAAACAATTAATTGTGTATCTTTTTACTTTTTTGAAAAATAAATCTTTCTTTAAAATTTCTCAAATTATTATTAAAAAAAAAAAAAAAAAAAATGATTGATTGAAATTTTTTTTTTAAATTCGTTTCGAATGAAACGAATTTAAAAAGAATTCATAACCAATCAAAATTTCTAGTTAAATAATATAAATTATGCAATCTTCTCTATTCGATAAATCAAAAAAAAAAAAGTCCGATAAATTGAAAAATTTTTGTAATTCCAAAATTTGCATTTATAAAATATTTATTAAATTACTTCTTTAGTTTCAAATTTTTTTTTTTCATTTACTAATTTAATGAAGCAAAAAAAAAAAAATTTGAACTTTTTAAATTTAAAATTCTTATATCAAATGATTATACTATCCAATCAATCAATAGCTCAGATCATTTACTCATTTTTTACCTTCGATTGTATTTTAATAGTGTAATATCATTCGAAATATTCTTATCACTT